GCGGGGGCGGGGACGCGGATCGCCGACCCCGCCCCGGCGGAGGAAGCGGGCCCGGGACGCCGCCCGCGCGGGCTGCAGCCTCGGGTCCCGGGGTCACGAGGGCGGCGGCTCCTTGCATTTAGGGAACCCCGCGGGCTCCTCTCCGCAGCGGGCTTCCGCTGCAGTGCGGCTCCCGGAGTGGAACTCGGCCCCGCGCCTGAACGAGGACCTGACGCCCTTAGCAGCGTAGGGGAAAACGTCAGAACGAGAAAGAGCCAGAGTCCCACCCTCGGCCGGCTTCCTCGCTCCAAAGGATTGGCATCTGTGATCCCAGCACTCGGGAGGCCGAGGCGGGAGCATCGCCGCGAGTTCGAGGCTAGTCTGGGCTGCGTAGCGAGACTCTGTCTGGAGGAGGCGAAACTAGGAGGAGGAACAAGTTGTAAAGCAATCCCTGGAAACCAGAGGAAGCAGCCGAGTAAAAATTACAAAGGGGCTTAGGCCTCTAGGACTCTTGAGGTAGTCCTGGGGCGGTCACCTTCCTGCACACCCCCCTCGCCCCCCCGCAGACCAGGCCGACTTACTTCAGCGTCCTCCAGGCTGCCTCGCAGTGACCTCCACAGTCGGCCCGCGCCTGCTCCTCCCCTGAGGATGACCCCCGCTGCCTGGACCCTGGCTCGACTAACGCGGCGAGGGAGGGACCAGCACCTTTGGCCGGCCGGCCTTCCGCCCCGCCCCTCTGACACCACTCGCACCCGGGCCCCTTCTCGGATTTGGGAAGGGAGAGCGCCCTCCTGCGCTCGCACCCCTGTGCTTGCAGGCTCACTTCGTGGTTCCGGTAAACCGCAGGCATGACTTCTCAGGCAGTGTGCACTCCAAGAATCCTGTGAAACCGCTAGGCTTTCTATCCTGAGTAGCGCGGAGCGGTGGTCACGAAAGGAAGTGCAATGAACAGTGGCGGCGGGCGGCTCTGAGGGCTCCGGACACCAGCACAGAGGCCGGAAGGCAGCAGTGGGAGCAGAGGGGCCCTTTGCCAGGTCAGGATTTCCATCAGAGTGGAGCTAAAGAACCCACGGCTGATTGGCAGCAGTCAGAACTATAGGTCCCTTGGACTTGGGAAGTCTACAGAACTTTTTTTTTTCCTCCAAAACACTGGTGAATTCATATACATTAGGTTAAAATTGACTTCTGAAAAGGGTTAGATAGTATTCTGACCCAATGTTACATTTATTATGGTCTAACATGTCTATTAGAATTCTTTGTATTTTTCTTCCCCTGAAGTACCAGGATTATTACAATAATATTAGCTCTAGTGTGCATTTTATTTTTTCATACGTTTTTGTTTTAAATTTATGTATCTGGTACATGGGCTTGCCATGCTGCTCGGACTCCTAGTGGTCCTCCTGTCGCAGCCTCCAGCGCTGGGATTACAGTGTGTCCCACCCACCCGGACTCTGTGGCTGACTCAGTACACACGGGAGCGGGGCCCAGGCAGCATGTGGTGCAGGGAATCGAACTCTGGCCCCTGCGCATGCCTGAGTAGGCGCACAGTCCACTGAGCTATCTCTCCAGCCCTATACATTTATTTTTCATGGTCTCATGAACGAAATCACGGAGACAAACAGTACCTGAGGGACATGGTGAAATTATTTTTAACAAAACATCCAAGAAACACTATCCGTGATTCCAGAAGGACTTTTTCAATGCATTGCTTTTAATATGGCAAGAAAATACAAGCACTCTGATGATTTTGAGGTGGGGGTATAGGAAGAAAGAGGAAAGATTGTTTTCTTTCACTGAATTCTGTCCCCGGAGTCTGTAGAACCTACCACGCAGAGGTGCTTGAGGTTCGCGAGTACGCCTCACCATCCTCCTTTCACAAATGTTTCCACATCGCTGGGTGCCATTCCAAACGCTTTACAAACATTCATCGCTTAATCGCATCATGGTCCCGGCTGTTATTCCCGCTTGCACTCGGGCCCCAGGCCTGTGTCCCTCGCCCCAAATCACGCCGGGAGTAAGGGCAGACCGGGATTGAAGCCCAAGGACCTGGCTGCAGCACCTGTACCTTTAGCCGCTTCATAAATGCTGCCACAAACATTTCCAATTCCAATTTTTTCAAAAATCCCTTCTTTCCCGACCAGTTCTAAACTCACATTCTCATCAGCTCCCTGCCACAGCTCTGTTGCTGAATGTGCTGGTTCTTATGGCTTAAAATTTTGCTTGAACTTAATTTGCAGTTAGAAAAAATTCTCATGGCTTGTTTTGCAACAGGTTTCCATGAGTCATGCAGAATTCTTCAGATTTTAGAGATTACATTTTTCTTTACAGAGACATGGCTGGCCTTATACGCCAATGTTACTGTTGCTAGAAGAGAGGTAAATTACTCACTTAGGTTAGCTGTGAATCTACAATTAGTAAATTCCTTTATTTCCTTTAATCCATTTGCCTGCAGCTTCTCTCATGTATTGCTTTGTTTGGTTTTGGTTTTGTCTTTTTGAGATGGGGTCTTACTATGCAGTGCAGGCTGACCCTGAGCTCACTTTGTAGCCCAGGCTGGTCTCAAACTCACAGCAATCCCCC